GGTTGTGTATGGTGAATGGCAAGAATGGATGACTCAAGTGGAGCAATTGCTTCAGCTTCCTCGTCGTTGACCGATCTACTCGCCGACCACCAAACCCAGTTATGAAAGGGATAAGAAATATAAAAAGAAGCTGAACTTTATGGGAAACACATCACCAACAAAATCAATAATGCACCGATTAATAGAAGCAGAAGAAAACTCATAATAAGATGGAACAATGAATCGACAGAAAGAGGCGTTTGGGTAAACCAAATAACACGGGAATAGAACAAAAGAATACAGAGTCCACGTATAAATTCCTTGAAATCTGTGCATGTCCCCGCATGAAGGCTGAAATGCAAATATCCATGGATGTGAAGAAGCTAAAATATTATTAGAGAAGTCCCCTTGCCTCGTTTTTCTGTGAAACAAGATTTAGGCCCAAAATCATGTCTTTCAATAGTGGTCTTCAAATGGTGGGGGGGGGGGGGGGGGGGGGAGTGGGTGAAGAGGAAGGGAGGTGTAGGAGGTGGGATTAAGTGGTGGAGGCGTGAGATTGGAGGGGGTTTAAAGGATGTTGTTGATAGCAGAGTAGATGAAGTCGATGACGTGAAAGTGGTTTGAGGCGTGAGTCAGTTGGATTTGGATGGTTTGGTCAATAGTTCTCTAACCACTAGTCAATAATTAAAAAATAATATTTTATTTGGACTGTTAGTTAAAGTAACGAAAAATTGGATGGATGCACAATTTAAGGACTTCAATAGTACCTGGTGCACTGTTTTCACTTTAGTGGTATAGCTCCACCAAGTGCTAATGAACCAAACCGGATCACCCCATCTATCCAGAAACCAGAATAGTGGCCCAAACGGCACTTAGATTGCCGATTTGTCTTTTGGACGACAATTTAAGGGTCGGGTTTAAACACCTCACAACCCTTCCTTGCATTATGCATTGGATTTGTTACCAAACGAATACCATTATCCATTTTGTTACACAATTAAATGCATTATGACCATCTATTTTTAAGTGAATTGTTGTCTAACCATTTGTTTTATGAACTAGAAAGTTAGTGACCATTGTGTTACATGTTTCAAAATCATAGTGGTGTCAGTTGAGTGAGTTGGATCCCTACATTAAGTGCATTTCTTATTAATAATTTTGTGATGTGGAGGGCTGATTGTACCAAATTAACAAAGTTTTTGATGGAGAAGAACGAAATAATCATTTTGTTATATGCTCAAACGTTTGTTACCAAATCGTACAAAATTCAAAGTGTGTGACTGTTTTGTACAAAGTGCAAAGAATTGTGACCGTTTGTACTAATTACCCCATATTTCCTACACTTTATGGTTCAATTCGAAAGTCATGCAGGGGTGAAAATTGGTTCGATATCAGTATTCCAATACCAAATACCGAAATCTTGAATACCAAATAGTGTCCTAAACTCAATTCCAATCACAATCCCAAAATAAATTTGATATCACAATCTCAATCTCTAATATTTTTTTCGGTATCGGTATATACCAAATACCAAATTTATTGGCTTCAAAATTATAAATCAAATATGCAAACACAAATACTTATCCTTTTGAAGTAGCTACAGAAACTAGGGGTGGGCATTGGGTGGGTCGTGTGGATTTTGACCATAAAATGCACCCACCCTCGCTTAAACGGATTGATAACTTTTAACCAACCACCCACCCACATTTAGTCTCGGGTTGGGTCGGGCGGATGGTGGATGATGTGGGTGGGTTTGTGAGTTCACCCACATCACAATGTATATAATATAAAGGAGTCAACTTGACATGATAATAGGTGAAGAGAATCATCGAGGGAAACAAGAAGTTGAAATAGGGCGAAAAATGTCGAATTAGTTCTTAAATTGGATAGAAATTCTATTATGAAAGAGTTTTCTACAGATTGAGACGATTATTAGGTGCAAGGAACTAAGGAAAATAATTCCACAAAGGAAAGAGCGGTGATCTAGGCACAAGAATTAGAGGAAAAAGTAAAGGGAAGAAGAGGGGATCTCTATTTGGAAGGTTGGCTTTGAGGTTCAAACTCCAGGAGCAGTCCGAGTTTATATCTAACATCTCCACTCTCCTCTCTCTAGCGACAATGACTTTGATCTTTTTGCTGTTGGGTTGAGGGGGTCACCCGCACACTCACCCACAACCCACCCACCACTCGGCGAATGGCTCCCAGCGCAACCCGTCACCCACCCACTTAACGAAATTCGGGTCAAATGCGGGTGGGTCGGCCCAAACCCGCGGATGATCCGCCAGCATGCCCAGCCCTAACAGAAACCATTTTCAAAATATATAAAAACAGACAACAGCGCCAACAATCGTTCGAAACAAATGAGAAAAATTCTCAAGTATAATAACAACAAATTAGAAAAATGTGGAGGCTAAGAAACACATTAACAAATTAAAGCAACAAACTGAAACGGAGATGACTAAACAACCCACAAACATACTACAAGTAACAAAATGAGAGGTTGATATTAGTTGTCAAATAGTGAGGGAAAGAAGTACACATAATTAAGTAAGTGAGTGAATCTACTTGGGACTTGGGAGGGATCAACTACACACTAGCTTATATTTCAGTATTGATCAGTATTGAGGTATATATCGATCTCAATCCCGTAATTCCTAATACCAAATAACACTTAAAATTCAGTCCCGATCCTAATCTCAATCCCGCGAAATAATAAACTTCGAAAATATCAAATATTAACAAATGCGGTACGAATTCGGTATATCTCAAATACCATTACTAAACTTCCAGCGCTAATTGTATACACTAGATCTTAAACAACGTTCGGAGCAGATGGGCAAGACTAGGGGTGGTATTCGGTCGATAACCGGTAAACCGGTTACCGACTTTACCAGTTTTCGGTATTCTGAGTGTGGGTAAGTGATGACTCGATATTTGCACATGTTTTCCCCTTTGTTTCTTGATCGTTTGAGCTTTAATTATCGCTTCTTTGGCCTATTTTACGCTAGGTTGTGTTCCTTTGTCACATTTCAGATCCTAGCACATAAAGTGAAGCATAGGCGCAAGTTTCAAGTCAATCAGAGATCAATTGGCGATTCGGGAGAAGAAACTCGGGCATGACCTGAAGAAGAATGGATTTCTACCTCACTTTATGGACAAAGAATCATGCAAGCTTGTCATGAAAAGAAAGAGGACGAGACTACGAGCGTCTGAGATCAAACGGCGACTGATTCGGAGTCCGGACGAGGGAGAAACGAAGCATTGAATATAGGGGAACAGGTTCGGCAGTAAAAACACGGGCGCGCCTAAATCAAAACACGGCCGTGCCCATATTTAGGCACGACCGTGTTTTGGCCGACGCGCGCGGGCGTGTTTTTAACACGGGGCAAAACACGGGCGGGCAAAAGCAAAACACGGTCGTGCCCTCGACCGTGTTTTGCCCAGAATCGGGTTTTTTAACCCAAATTCGAGCCAAAGGAGAGAGGGAGCTGGGTTTTGGATCCCAAACACCCAAGGGACGAACCAAAGAGAGAGAGGGCGATTTGAGGGCATTCTAAGAGTGGAATTGGAGGATTTTTTTGCCTTGGAAGCTCTAGGAACAAGCCCGGACTTGGAGACTGATCATCTGAAGATTCTTACTGCAGTCTCTCTCTTCTCTATGGAGTAACTTCCCTTCACTTAGGTTTTGAGGAACCCTAGCTATGTTTGTTTGATTGGATGATTGTATGAGTACTCCTACTTGATAATCTTGAGTTCATATTCAATCTATGCATGTTTTCATGATTCAATTCTGCTTTAGTCGAGATTATTGATTCTGCTTTGATCCTATGAGAGCGAATACCTGATTAGGTCAATAGAGCACCATAGATTGATAGTATTGGATCGATTGCTTTAGTCGAGGGTTGATTCAATGCTTTGTATCGATTGAGAACCTCATTCGATAGAGGGAATCTAGTTCAGAACGCCTTGATCGATTGTTCTAGAGAAGGATACGTCCCTCTAGGCAATTGACTCAAGAGGGCCTTGTTCCTTTAGTCGAGACTCAAGGTCTAGTTAAGGATTCTCCGCATTGTGAATGAAAGTGAAATAGGTTAGAGATCATCAATCATTAATCTGGCTAGTGGCTAGGGGGAATCATACCTAAGTGAGTTCCCAACCTGTAATTAGATTAACTTTAACTGTAGTTTGTTAGAGTAGTTTTAGTTCTTCCATCTTAATCTGGTTTGCTAGATAATGAACTGAAGCTGAGTAATAGTAACTCTAGAGACCCGTGGATTCGATATTTATTACTTGAGCCACTATACTGCAGTCCCTTTTATTGGTTCCACTTGGCCATTGTTAGGAGTTGTGTCGTAGCGAGTCAGTAAGTAGGAATCGATTACCGATACCGGTTTGTAACCGGTTTACCAGTTACCGAATTACCGATAAACGGTTACAAACCGGTTTACCGACTTACCGTAAGGAGTAGTTGCGGACAGTTTTTCGGTTCGGTTTACCGGAAAATTACCGAACCGAATTTCTTGACAGTGGGGTGATGTTGTAATATTTTGATTTTTCTGAGTTTTTTTCTTCATTTTTGTAATTAATAATTTATTTTTAACTCTTATTTATAATATTTTGAGGCCTATACTTACTTACTTTCATTCATGTATGTAATATTTGTGAATAATGAAGTATATGTTATATGTTAATGACTTAACTGGTCCGGTATCGGTATTACCGAATTACCATCGGTATTTACCGATATTAGGGCCGGTAAACAGAGCTTCCCCATTTGACTTTCGACCGTCGATACCGCCGATAAACAGTTTACCGTTTAATGATATATTAAGCCCTCGTAAACCCTATTGCTTGTTTGCACTTTGCACCTTTGTACCTTTGTAAATTCGGTAATAGTAAAAACCGAAGCCAAATTTTCATACAAACCAAGAGTAATGAGCAGAGCAAAGGTGCGAAGTGCAAACAAGCAATAGGGTTTATGAAGGGCTTAACATACCATCAACACCATTCATTTTCAGCGCCCTTCTTCCCACCTCCCTCTTCAGTCTTCTCACAATCCTCTGAACATTCCCAACTCCCGAATCTCAACTTTCTCTCACAAAACATTCCCCCGCCCTAAAAAAACCCGAAATGTTGAAGCTTCTCTCTTCTTCCCGCAATCTCCACGCCCACATCGCTTCCCCATGCCTCCGAGCTACTCCTGCTCCCAGCTCCGGCGGAGCTTCTGGGTCGTCGAGCCCTTTGCTCAGAGCACTCAATTCGATTGCTGAATTGAGCAGGGGAAGCTCCAGCAGGCATCCCAATTTCTTCCGCAGGGCTTTCTTCTGCTCGGATTCTTCCTCCTCGGGCGGCGACGGAACCGGCCGCGGGGTGCTGGTTGAGGTTGCACTAAAGGGGGACGACAGCGATGCCGACGCCGGAGATTCCAGCAATAGCTCCTCCGCCATTGTCCCTACTAATCCGAGACCCGAGGACTATCTAACGGTTGGTTGTCTGAAAGAGATTGAAGCTTTGAAGATGGTTTCTTTTTTTTTTTTTGCTTTATTTTCGTTTATATGTGTATTTACTTAGATTGCTATGGACATGGTAATGGCTTGCGAAGTGTGAGTTTTGTCTTCACAAAGCATAGGAGCCTCTAGATGGTTCGGTGTAGAGCTTTTGTTGCCCGAAAACATGGTAGAATAGGCAGAAGAACTTATAGTTTATGTTAGGGTAGATTAGAAGTTCCACTGATCTAGATGAACATCTTGCTTGGTTCTTACTGTACAAATGTAGCTGAAGTTTATATTTTAAGTTACTATATGCATAATTGATAACACATTTTGCTTGTGCTTTGCAGGTATTGGCACTTCCATTGCCTCATAGACCTTTGTTCCCTGGTTTCTATATGCCTATTAATGTTAAGGTATTATTTATTCTACCAAACCTGGGGTTTTATGCTCACTCTAGCTGTCACAATCATATTATGTTTCATTACAGTGGAGTGATGCAATAACTTGCTTCGCATTTAGGATCCCAAACTGATGGCTGCATTACAAGAAGCACGGAAAAGACAAGCCCCATATGCTGGTGCTTTTCTCCTCAAAGAGGAGCCGGGCTCTGATCCCAATGTGGTATCTGGTTCAGAGTCGGAGAAGAGCACGGACAGTCTCAAAGGGAAAGATCTTTATAATCGTCTTCATGAAGTTGGAACACTAGCCCAGGTTCCTAAACTTTATTTAACCTCGCTGTCTGATACAGTTGGCATAGTAAGTGCTTTTTCTTTGAAAAAAGAATGGTAATGTTGATTCGATTTCCTCCAAAATGTGGCTGGCCAGATTTCAACTATTCAGGGAGAGCAGGTTGTTCTTATTGGTCACAGACGACTTCGGATAACAGAGATGGTTGAGTACAGATGAAACTTTTCCCTTTTTATCTTTCAGACTTGGTATCATGCCAGTGTATTCTTTACCTCTAAGCTGAAACTATTTGGGATTCTGTACAGGTCAGCGAAGAACCACTTACTGTGAAGGTTGATCATATCAAAGTACGCTATCTCAATCTCTGAACTCATATTCTTGATATCCAAGACCTCAATGTTCTAGTCTCTGCAAATATACCAGATTCTTTAGGTTATGTGGCTTACCCCTCTTGATTGTATAGGACAAACCTTATAACAAGGATGACGATGTTGTTAAGGCGACATCATTTGAAGTTATATCAACCCTTAGAGATGTTCTAAAATCGAGTTCCCTTTGGAGAGATCATGTCCAGACTTACACTCAGGTTTGGATTGTTTCTTTAGTGTTCTTCATAGGCTCACCAAAGATCACTTGACATCTTCACTTTCCAGTTGATCACTAAGATTGAATTTTGTTCACTGTTGTTATGTTGGGAGTTAGTATTTCTAACTTTGTAATATCTACAGCATATAGGTGACTTTAATTATTCAAGGTTAGCTGATTTTGGGGCTGCAATCTCTGGAGCAAGCAAGTTGCAGTGCCAGGAAGTGCTTGAGGAGTTAGATGTAAGTGGCATTCCAACTGTGGATTACTTCATTGCGTGAAGAGTTCTGATGTCTACTTTCTCACATATTTCTTTCTATGTTCTTGTTTCAGGTGCATAATAGGCTGAGGCTTACCCTTGAGTTGGTGAAGAAAGAAATGGAGATAACCAAAATCCAGGTATTCGACAATAGACTCACTGTTTGGGGTAGGTGTTGAAGTTTACTGTCAATGATTCAGTTCCCACTCGGTAAAAATTTTCTCCCAAATCCAGGAATCGATTGCGAGGGCGATTGAAGAAAAGATTAGCACTGAGCAGAGGCGTTACTTATTGAATGAGCAGCTTAAGGCCATAAAGAAGGTAGTTTTCCCCCTTTATTTTTCCTGCTTGATTTCTGGTTGTTTAACTCGGGGTTTTTGTTGTAAATTGGAGCTCTTTCTGTCATGTAGGAATTGGGGCTAGAGACAGATGACAAGACTGCTCTTTCTGGTGAGTTTGTGTGCGAGTATGCAAGAAAGCCAATTAAGTCTTGATTTTGATTTCTGTTAAAAATAGTGTGAAATGGTCACATTTATTTCGTTTCTACAGCAAAGTTTAGGGAAAGGATTGAAGAAAACAAAGAACACATACCGGCTCCTGTTTTGCAAGTGATACAAGAAGAGCTAACAAAACTACAGCTTCTAGAGGCGAGTTCGAGTGAATTCAATGTCACTCGAAATTACTTGGATTGGTTGACTGCATTGCCTTGGGGAAATTACAGGTTGGCTTTAAGTCTACCCACTTGGTCAAACAAATTTAAGGATAAATAAACATCTGTTTAGCTGAAATTCACAAAGTTCAGCAGAATATTTTGCTTGGTTTACTTAGACTCAGATTCTCAGAATACGTTTTTTTTTTCTTCTTCTTCATGTGAAGTGATGAGAACTTTGATGTCCTCCATGCACAACAAATTCTCGATGAGGACCATTATGGTTTATCTGATGTCAAGGAAAGGATATTGGAATTTATAGCTGTTGGGAAGCTACGAGGAACTGCACAAGGTATAGATCTCATGGTTGTTTCATACATTTCCAAATGTCTATCCATTTCATATCATCAGTCTTATGATTTCCGGTTTATTGCTAAATGCTTTATAGGGAAAATCATTTGTCTCTCTGGCCCACCTGGGGTGGGTAAAACCAGCATTGGCAAGTCAATTGCACGGGCCTTGAACCGCAAATTCTTCCGGTTTTCAGTTGGTGGCTTATCTGATGTTGCCGAGATTAAGGTACGGTTAATAGGACTTGTTAAGACACAATTCTTGCAATACCTGTGAATGGTTTCTTGGATGTCTTGTCTGACTGAGTCAATTTCACACCTAGGGCCATCGCCGGACCTATATTGGTGCAATGCCAGGAAAAATGGTGCAATGCCTGAAGAATGTTGGAACTGCTAACCCTCTTGTCCTGATTGACGAGATTGACAAGGTAATACCAGTTTTATCAGAAAACGGGAATTATTTTCCCATTTCTCATCTTTATCCTTAAGATTCTTTGCTTATCATGATTAGTACTTGAGATACATAAAAAGCCCTTTAGTTCTGAAAAGGTATTTTCTGTTTGGTATGGCAGCTGGGGAGGGGCCATTCTGGTGATCCAGCAAGTGCTATGTTGGAGCTTCTTGATCCGGAGCAAAATGCCAACTTTCTCGATCACTATTTGGATGTTCCAATTGACCTTTCAAAGGTCGGTATGTTTTTTTTTTTTTTAATGTCAAGTTTGAATTCTAGGAAACGATGTGTTTCAACATTCGCAAATCTAGGAATCGACGTGCTTAGCCATATAGAACATCAGCTTATGCTCGGATTCAGGATATTCCAATCTTCGTACTAATTGTGGTGGTTTTGCAGGTTCTATTTGTGTGCACTGCAAATGTTGTCGATACGATACCAACTCCTCTTTTGGACAGAATGGAGGTCATCGCTATAGCTGGGTATATCACCGACGAAAAGATGCATATTGCCAGAGATTACTTGGAGAAGTCTACACGTGATGCATGTGGCATCAAGCCTGAACAGGTCACTTTCTTTAACCCTTTTGACACATTATTTGTTACCGCAAAAGCTTAATGAAAATGTTGAATTATTTTTAATATGTAAATCCAGGTTGAAATGACTGATGCTGCTCTTCTTACCCTTATTGAGAGCTACTGCCGAGAAGCTGGGGTCAGGAATCTTCAGAAGCAAATCGAGAAGATCTACCGAAAGGTCTGAGTTCTGACCCTTTGTCTTGACTAAAACCTTGTTTGAGATCAAACTGCAATTTATTTTCTTCCTTATCAAGTTATGACTACTCTTTGTTGGACAGATTGCCTTGCAACTTGTACGAAAAGGAGTCCAAGGTGAAGCTCCAGTTTCGGGAGTTCAGATTATTCAGGATGGAGAAGCAAGTGAAGAAAAAGCCGATGATGCTGGGAATATCTCTTCGGAATCTGTTGAAGCAAATGTCGAAGGACAAACTGAGGTGACAATTCTTGAAGCAGACATTGTGCAGGCTGAGAGCTCGTCCAATCAAGATTCTAATCCCACAGATCAATCTACAGATTTAAAGGTAAATTCTATGGTGTGTTACTTCCGTTTCTTGATACGTAAATCTTGTACTATCACTATGTGAGGAAGTGTGAAAACTATGAAATCTGTATCTTCTCTTTTAAGTACATACAAGTAAACTTGCTACGAACATATCAACTCTCCACCCCTCTGACCGAGCATTTACTGCAATAGGACTCGTTGGAAACTGAGAAACAGGAGGAAAGCGAATCGACTTCAACAGTTGAGAAGGTCTTGGTGGACAAATCAAACCTGACGGATTATGTTGGGAAGCCTGTTTTCCACGCCGAGCGAATCTACGACCAGACTCCATCTGGCGTAGTCATGGGTCTTGCCTGGACCGCAATGGGAGGGTCCACATTGTACATAGAGACCACTCTCGTCGAGCAAGGAGAAGGCAAAGGAGCCCTTCAGCTCACCGGCCAACTGGGAGACGTCATGAAAGAGAGCGCCCAGATCGCACACACATATGCGAGAGCAGCACTGCTCGAGAAAGAACCAGACAACCAATTCTTTGCCAACACGAAACTCCACCTTCACGTGCCAGCTGGTGCCACCCCAAAGGATGGGCCCAGCGCCGGGTGTACCATGATCACATCCCTGCTCTCTGTGGCAATGGAGAAGCCCGTGCGGAAAGATCTCGCGATGACTGGAGAAGTCACATTGACTGGAAAAGTCCTTCCTATTGGTGGGGTATGTCACTGCAAAAGCCTAAAGCACCGTACTTTTTTTCTCCATTGCTAGCTGCGGCAGGCTACTTTTCCCCAGTTTTTAATCACCTTGTGATGATTTAGGTGAAGGAGAAGACGATTGCAGCTAGAAGGAGTGGTGTGAAGACAATCATATTCCCGTCAGCTAACAGGAGGGACTTTGACGAGCTTTCGCCTCAGGTTAAGGAAGGGCTTGATGTCCACTTTGCGGACCATTACAGCCAGATATATGAATTGGCCTTTGACTTTGATCAGAACTAGTAGATAAAGTAATGCACAGATTCTTTATGTCTTCTGGGTCTTCTCATATACACATTCTTGCACAAGCTTTTCATTGGCCAGAAGAAGAAAAAAAACCCCCAGTTTTGTGCCATTAGATACATCGTTGACTACTGACAGTTTTCTGAAGTGTATGCTGCTGAAATACAAGCCATTCCCCCAACCCAGAAACATTGTTTGGTAGTTGGTATTGGTTGGAACTTTGTTAGTGTTTGGATGCATAGAGATTAGAATAGACAGAGAGAAAGGGAAGTTCTTTTTGTGATGGAACAAGTTGTAATGAATTTTAATTCCTTTTGCTTTCGTTTTCTGTTCATTGCTGGTTTGCCATGCGTGGAAATAAGAGGCTCCAAGATTCTCCTATCCATCATCCAACAGGCGGAAACTTTCTGGTCATCATTGGACAGTTATGCAGTGGGTTGGTGGAAGCTCTCTACTCGTTAGTCATATGAGTGAAGTGAGCCTTTCACATTTCTCTTGATTTGCGAATCATTGGAATTCCCTTTGACTTTGTAACACAGACTGCAAGACGATGATTGAGATGTGGATACAGAACTCAAGAACACAATAGAGAATGAACTGATGAGGATTGTGTATGCCAAGTTGCTTTCTTTAATCCGTAAAATTTACATAAAAAAAATATATAAATTGCTCAAAATATCAAATTGTATATGTCGGAATAGAAGAGAATGCAAATACAAGAAGAAGCACATGACAAATTTGATAAAATCTTTCTACGTAATTATATCGAGACTTATTAGTCTATACATCTGTTAAGAATATTTGTATAGTTAATCTATCTATTACTCTAAGTGAATGGTCGTACAAATCAACCGTTTCGGACTCCACTCCATATAAAAAAAAAGCAACATACTCTCTATGAATTTTGTAAGATTTTTAACTTAATGCTAGATTGCTAGTCCACATTACACATCAACCACAATCATGAGTCGCCCTTGCAAATGAAGCATTAATTTGGTAACCCTTTTTTTTCTTAATTAAACATCAATATCGCTTAGATCCCACAAGGATACAATTCATGCACCTTCAAGATTGCATGGAGATAAAAAGGAATTAAGCCAATTTTTTTAAGGACCCCACTAAGATTGTCATACTACTATCTCCCAAAAGCATAATCTTATTGCATTAGTTTATAATATGAAAGGGAGAAGGGAAAAAAACACATGTGATTTTCTTTGTACCAATGCCTACGGGCTATAAACACATAACTAAAAAAGTCCAACTGCCAAATTGGCCACTAGCTAGCATCTTAAATTCCAAAGAATGTGACTTGACGAGAGTACTAATTACCTAAATGACCATTAAATTTTAGATCACTAACACATCTATGACGACTGAATTTTAAGTTTATGAGGTTATTGCTAGAATCAGGAAAATTAATCACTCTTTTTTATGTTTGTCAAATAAATTTTTTTTATCTAAGTGATAGACTATTATGTTAGTGTGTTATAACTATGAGCTAACCTGAACTAGTAACAAAACAAGCCACCTAGACGCTTTGATTCCTATAATGTAGGGGTAACAAGAAAAGTCTTTGGTGGTTTCAGATAATGCGGGTTGGAATTGGATCGAGTAATCGATTTATTTTGGATCAAGTGTGAGTTTGACAAAGTCATCCTAATCATAACTAAATCTAATAAACCTTTTTTTTATTATCAGTTTTGGAAGAGTTGGCACTAGTATAAACAAAATAATTTAAACAATTTAGACAAACTATCTATGGGAGGAGAGGGAGATTTTAAGAGTCGTTTTCAATCGATTTGTTGGGTCATATTTCCACCAAAGTGAAAATGTGGGAAAGAAACTGGAAAAATGGGTCACTTTCAAAAGCCATGGACTTAGATTTTGGTTGCTAGCTCACAAGTCACAACCATCGCTATGCTATCCAAATCCTTGCCTCTTTTCTTTCTCATGATGATAAAAAAAAAACAATTGTTAAGTCACTTCAACATTTTAATAGGTTGAAGACTCTTTTCTCCATAGGGAAAGTCCTAATTTGAAAGAGTTTAGCTTTAAGTCCTCATAGATTAGATCGTTTGCTTTTTCTATCTTATTTTACTAAACGGATGGAAATCATTAATTAGTCTGTATTTACAGTACACTATGAATTTTGCGCGTATACAAATATACTCATTCTCGTAATCATAATTTGATTATCTAATTTGTGTCAAGATGATCTTAATATTTAATTTCATCCCAAGGACAAGAAAACTGTGAATTCAGGGGCAAACATTTTTTTCATGACTTGCTCTTATCATAAGTAAATCTAAAACTTACTCGGTACAATATTCATCTAATGACCATTACAATGACATATTTGTGGCTAAAAATGCATGAATTAGTTGGAGGTTAACATTATATCAATCATATTAAGCAGATAACAGTGATTAGAATTTAAGAATTAAATTATAGTTTCGAACTAAATTATATAATATGTACCCAAAATCAATATTTTCCATTAACGCCTCTTATTAACGATATAGATGTGTCAAATAACTATACTCATTAAAAAAATTCCCCTGATATATGATTCCAATGTATTGGAGTGAGAGCAGTAATCTACTACCCAAGTTCTCATATTATCGAACAACATTATCCATTTCTTTGGACAGCTGCTTTCCCATCTTTTGCAGCCTTTTTCCTTCTTTTTGTGTACACACTCTGCAAACTAACAAAGAAAAGAAAAAAAAAAATGTAGATAAGAATATCAACGTTGTCAAATCGGTTTATATCGTTGTGGCGGTTTAGTGAGTGGTATGTTTCGATTGGTGGTACATTCGGTTTGTGTCGGTTCATGTTAGTTAGTATGATATGTAATAATATGAAAAATCATTAACATCATATGAATTTAAACACACACACAGGGTATGTCGTACCTTGAGTAAGAAAATGATATCTAGACCTTGAATTGACCGGAGTTTGGCATCTGGTACTATTCTCAAACCCTTAAAGATCAAAATCTATGTCTTAGTTCTATAAATCTCATACACGAAGATTAATTTATTGAGAAACAAAAATCGACGGTCATGATTCATTGAAATATATGCAACAAATTACATGCTCAATCTAAGGAGTTAGCCTCTATGATTTAGAAAACTAAGTCCTAGGGTTCACCCATCAAGGTTATGGTATAGTATCATTCCCAAAAATCTGGTTAATTCGATGTCTATATAGCATTTTCTTACTTAGGTTATGTCGTACCCTTGATTTTACCCAAGGTACGATTGAAGTTATATATATAGCATTCCAAATAAAATAAAAATACTCATATTTAAATACAACATTTTACGTCAACACTCAAACTTTTATACTGGAATCCAACAACTGACATCAACGTTGAACTTTTAAATTTATGAAATAAGTTACAAATTAATTTTTCAGTAATTAAATTCACTAAAACGACTTCATTTTGTTTTTAGGGCGAAAATTTATTATGTTGACCATACCGATGCTATTCACACTAGTTTCATGATCAACATCAATTGAATCGGATTCATTCGGCCGACATTCCACGGACGTGACAAGCATGAAGAATACACCACTCCTATTATGCGATGAAGAGAGTAACTATTGATGCGAATCATTTAATTCAAAATTTCCATGAGTTTGTATAATTAATGTGATTTATAATCTAGATGATTCCATTTTTTTTAATTCAACGATCTTGTATCAATCAATTATCAATTCGTTTCATGATCTATTCAGAATGACATATAACAATTAAAATCCTCCATTGTGCAACCTCTACTTTCCTCATATGGTAGCATTCTTAAGTGAAGAAGAGCACACTATCTTTGACCTAAATGTCACTGTAAATGGGGTTTTGGAAATGATATGAGGATATGAGAGAGAGATGAGATATTCATATTCCAAAAGCTATAGTTAGTCGATTTGTCCTTCTCCCCAAATTTTGCCAAAAAAAAAAAAAAAAAAAAAAAACAAACAAACAAAAGGGTGCACAATTTAAAAGCACTTAGCATATGATTGGATAATACCCTTTTCCAAACCTTTTAATCATATCCATTTCCTTTGTACTCAAGCCGACTCATGAAAGCAAGTTGGTGATGAAGACATTGTCCATTCCTATCCATCCTATTATCGATTTCTAGTTGTTAATGGTACTAAGAATTGGCAACAATAGTGATTTGTGATTGAGATAGCTCAATCATAATCATTACATCTCAATCACGAATCAATTTGTATTATGTGTCTTCTTATTCATCTTCTGCAGTGGTATCACATTATGTCTAAAATAACCTAATAGGTTCAAACGGTACTTGAGTTTATTTGGATGATGGAATTATCAAATGAGGCAATATGCATTAATTACTTTAAAATTGTCTTATCTTGCAATTGATACATCATTCAAATTTGACTATTCAAATTGCTTCGGTCCAATCGATACATCACCATTTTCCAACCGAGACTATTTGACCCAATTACTTCATTTTTTTCAGCCAATTGAGTCCGGTTCCATCATCCAAACTGACTCGGTGACTCCTTAAAAAAATAAATGAGAGTTAAGTTGGACTAAGATAACAAATATGAGCAAAAGTTGGAAAAATCCAAATCAGCAATTCGTGTGTTTTGCACTTGCCATTTAAGTTCGATGAACTTGTGTTTTGTGGTGTGATGATATCACCCACTCACTCACTCACATATACAACACGTTCTTATATCCTAATATTAAGATAATGTTTCTTCCTTAACTAATATCGCCTCACATACATCACTCCTCCCTCCCTCCCTCCATCACCACAATTGATTTGGATGATGTTTGCATCATTAACCACAACAACTCACTTTATACACGACGTTTAACAAAGTAATTACTAATGCAATAGGGCTCAACCGGACTAGTACCAACCAATGTGGTAATTGACGTAATTGGTAACCTAGCTTTAGTCGGGTAACAAAAATTTTCACTTTTCGGTAATACGACACCCTGTTAAGATGTTGAAAGAGATATATATTTACGTTCGCAGTAATGTAATTTGATTCGGCATATGTCAAAATTGCTATAGAGCTGACATCCGAAATGAAGATCGCTTGATTTTTTGCTCTATGATTATGGATGTTTTGATTGGCTTTTTCATGAGTTTTTCTTCTTCTTCTTTTCATGATCTTTCTTCTTTTTGATTTTTTTATCCAATTTATGTTTTCTGTTTCGTTAACAAACTGTCTCGATCATCAACAAATAAAAAATTTGATTCGTTATTTCTGGTATAAAAAAATTTCCACCCTTAAGTACCTGAAATTTACATAATCCAAATGAATTAAATTTAAATAGGATTCGTTATTTCCGGTATAAAAAATTGCTTGCATTGTTGTAATTATGTTCAAAATTTCAAATACATCAAAATATCAACAATTCAGTCGGATTGAAATAATCAGTTTGGCGATTTATGGATGTGGTCATGTGGATGGCCAAAGTAGTTCATAAGTGGGAAGAATGAAAAGGAAATGGGAATGGGCCTTTTTGAGAAGGTGGGGGCCCATTGAAGATCTGGGTTTCTCATTTCTGGTTCTGGTTGTGGGCGTGATCGACTGACAAAGTGTATTGTACGCGTGGCCCGTATTTTATATTTTGCGACGATTTTTTGGTGTTATTATGACGAAATAGATTATGGGCTTACGTCTCCAATGATTATCCATCGATGGCTGCTCTCAATTCTGCACGTGGATTCCTAAAACA